GCACTTAGCTAACTAACCCCTTTAGAGTAAGAAGTCTGACTTTAACTCTAGAGCAAATTTCTGGTTATACAGATTTTTAAATTAATGTCATATTTCTTCAGCTCAGTTGATACTGTTAGGTTGTCGCTGGAAGCTCTTTCTGCCTCATAGTTCCCACATTTATTCATTCATTCAACCTTTCATTCATGCAATCTTTCATTACAATCAACCCTTACTAGGTAATGCATTTTTTCCAGGTGCTGGGGATACAACAGTGAACAGTGACACCTCCTATTCTAATGTTGGCCTAGAATTAGGAAATGAGTTTTAGTTTATCGATTAGCTGCTCTAGGGCTTTAGACAAAGTTAGGTAAACCCAGGTCAGTGAGCTCTTATTAAACACCTAGGTCCTGTGTGGCAAGTCCCCAGGATTATGCCAGTTTAAAATCCTGAAAAATTTGGGGGTGAATGTGGCAGGTATTTCTGTCACTCTGCTCATGCTTGTTCAGCTATTTTGCAGGAACATTTACCAGGAATATTCAGAATTTGAAAACGGACCTAGGACTTGTATTTCCTGGGAAAACTTGAAGTCTATACAAGGGATCTTCAAAAAGGGGTCTTCATAATATCTCAAACCCTTAAATCCCATAGAGTAGAACCTAGGGAACTCTACCACTCTAGAACAATTGGAGCAAAGAGTGGTACATTTCTTTGGTTAATAATAATAATAAATTGGGATAAATTTTACCTCCACAGACAAGAACATTGACTATAAACATTCATTTTCATAAGGTTAAGACACTTTCAATCTTACAAGCTAAGTCTGTTTTCCTTTCTACTACATCAAAGACAGTTTTAATTCATTCCAATTGGGATAAATTTTACCTCCACAGACAAGAACATTGACTATAAACATTCATTTTCATAAGGTTGAGAAGACACTTTTAATCTTACAAGCTAAGTCTGTTTTCCTTTCTACTACATCAAAGACAGTTTTAATTCATTCCAATCTAGTAAAAACATGGAATTATTCTCCAAAATGTCTATGTTGAGAAATTCAAGCAGTTTGGAGAGTAAATTCCCGACCTCAAAAGATCTCATCGGAAAAACCACCATCCAGGGGCCGGCCCGGTGGCGCACTGCTATAGTGCGCCGCTTGGGAAGCGCGGTGGCGCTCCCCCCGAGGGCCTGGGTCCCACATACAGACCGGTTCCCGCTCACTGGCTGAGCGAGGTGC